TGTCACAGCTCCACGGCTGCAGGAGAAAAAAGAGCATTTTGACGGTGAAGAGATTCACTAGATACCCAAGCTTTCTTCATTTAGCCCTTTGTCACATCCTAAATTCTTTGAAAATACCTTAACAGCTTACCCAATTGTCCCTTTTTACATCTGTTCATCAAGACAATCCTGCTTAGTTTTTATTTCATAAATGTCAATGAGGAAATACAGTTCTTTTATTAAGAGGGAAGCTGGGAACAGATACAGAAAGATGAGTTTTATTTGACCTATGGAAAATTGCCATTTAAAAAGAAAATGCCTGGTATCTTCCTTCCTGGAGCCCCTCTGCTCTGAGGCCAGGCTGGGAGAGTTGGGGGTGTTCAGCCTGGAGAAGAGAAGGCTGCGGGCAGAGCTGAGTGCGGCCGGTCAGGGCTTAAAGGGGGCCCAGAGGAAAGGGGGGGACAAGCTTTTTAGTAGGGCCAGCTGGGACAGGACAAGGGGGGGATGGCTTTAAACTGAAGCAGGGGAGGTTTAGACTGGATCTAAGGAAGAAATTCTTTACCCCGAGGGTGGTGAAACCCTGGCAGGGGTTGCCCAGAGAGGGGGTGGAGGCCCCATCCCTGGGAACATTCCAGGCCAGGTTGGACGGGGCTGTGAGCAACCTGATGTGGTTCAAGGTGTCCCTGCTCCTGCAGGGGGGTTGGGCTGGGTGACCTCTGGGGGTCCCTTCCCACCCAAAACATTCTATGATTCTATGATTCCTTGCTCCTACAAGGTACTGTAGGCATTCGAAACAAGAACAAGCAACATAATGTTAAGGGGAGGGTACACATAAATGTGTGTGTACGTGTAGATATACACACATGTATTTCAGACAGGAACAGACTTTACGAATATTTTATATAAATATATATAGAATATATATGCTTGTAAATGCCATTCCCATCCAATCTGTAAGCCTGTAAGCTGTAATGTATCGTTCTGATCCCGTCACAGGAAACAGACGGGTACTCCGGCTCAGACATAAAACTCGTGTGCAAGGAAGCAGCCATGAGACCAGTGAGGAAAATTTTCGATGCTCTTGAAAATCATCAGCCAGGTACCACAGCTCTGAGTACAGAATCTGGTCTGGGAAACGCTGATCTACTGCTGCAACTCTAGAAATTGTAATATGTGAACTCCAGCAGGTGGAGCTCTGTTATCTGCTTAGAAAAGTTTTAAACTGTGAATTTCTAGCACATCTGCCTAAGCGAATGTTTTGGAAAGTCAAGCCTTTTTTTCCCAGAATCCCAGAACGGCAAGGGTTGGAAGGGACCTCGGGAGATCACCCAGTCCAACCCCCCTGCTAAAGCAGGCTCTCCTAGAGCATGTTACACAGGACTTCGTCCAGGCGGGCCTTGAATATCTCCAGAGAAGGAGACTCCACACCCTCCCGGGGCAGCCTGTTCCAGTGCTCTGTCACCCTTAGAGTAAAGAAGTTTTTCCTCATATTCAACTGAAACCTCTTATGTTTCAGTTTGCATCCATTGCCCCTAGTCCTGTCGCTGGGCACCACTGCAAACAGACTGCTTCCATCCTCGTGACTTCCGCCCTTAAGATATTTGTACGTGTTGATAAGGTCCCCTCTCAGTCTTTTCTTCAGGCTGAACAAGCCCAACTCTCTCAGCCTTTCCTCGTAGGGGAGGTGCTCCAGTCCCTTTACCATCCTCGCTGCTCTCCTCTGGACTCTGTCTAGGAGTTCCTCATCTTTCTTGAACTGGGGAGCCCAGAACTGGACCCAGTACTCCAGGTGGGGTCTCACCAGGGCAGAGTAGAGGG